CTGACATGCACAATTAACTAGTGATCTTTCTAGTCTGTAACCAGACATCTTATTTCTAGACTCTGGTGCAAAACATAATACTAAGGGGAAAGGGAAGTATCAGAATATATATATAGAAATAGAAAGAAAACCAATATAACTTGGAAAAAACAGAGAATCCTTATCAATCTACTATATACTGGAGAGAATTTGTTGGTCTGTGAATGAGAGAATGAACGTGTCTATCTGTCCATCCATCTGCTTGTTCAAGAATTCCTCCAAATGGTGAGAGCTAGGACCACCAAATTAGGTACACAGCTTCCTCCTATCATTACTTAAAGCAAGGTAAGGGCTTAGTTGTTCCGGGACCATGGCATGTGTCTGAAATGCAATTGTTTTTCACAAGACAGAAAGGGATGGGACTTCTAGCAAGACAGTTATACTGTGTAATGACCACAGGGGGTGGCCAGGGGCCAGAGATGGGGACCAGGACAGCTATAGATATAGCTCCATTGGGAGGTAAATTTCCCACCTGCTGCCTGGCCAGTGCGGCTCCCCCCCTGGCCAGCCCTGGCATGTGTCTGAAATGCAATTGTTTTTCACAAGACAGAAAGGGATGGGACTTCTAGCAAGACAGTTATACTGTGTAATGACCACAGGGGGTGGCCAGGGGCCAGAGATGGGGACCAGGACAGCTATAGATATAGCTCCATTGGGAGGTAAATTTCCCACCTGCTGCCTGGCCAGTGCGGCTCCCCCCCTGGCCAGCCCTGATTTGGCCAGCATGGCCCCTGCTGGCTCCTGCACCCCCACACTTCCAGCTAGTCTTCACTCCCTCACCATGACTCCTGCACCCCCCACATACCCAGCCCTCTACCCTGTGCCATCCACATCTCCAAGCCCCTGTTCTGATTCCTACACCTCCCACATTCTCAGCCCCCTATCTTGAAGGGCCAAGCGATGCTGGATAAATCTTCTAATATGCTATATGTACACTGCATTTGGGAATGTTGAAGTACAGAGCTAAGAGACAGGCTGGTTAGTAAGATAACAGCAGATCAAGAGTGAATGCTTTTCATTGTTTTTTCCCACTTGTATTTACAAACCCTTTCAGACTCTGTGGCCAGAATGGTGTGCTGCTCCCTCTGGGGCACTCTGCTGAGACCTGGGGTTGTGCAACTTGCGGTGCACTCTCCCAGTTGGGCTCCCGGGACTCCTGCTCCAGGCTGGTGCTGGCAGCCCTGCATACGCAGCCCGGTGAGGCAGGCAGGTGAAAGGGGCCAGCTGGGGGGACATGCTGCAAGGGAGGCATGAGTGCTCCCAGCCAGGCTCCTGGTGCATCTGCGCCTGTCTTGCTGGACACTGAGCAGCACACAAGCAGGCTGTGGCATGCACTGCTGTCAGCAGCCTCTGGGAAGAAGCTGGGGAAGAGAGTGGCGGGACAAAGAGGCTCTAGCATCACTTCCCATTTTCCCGCAACAGAGCCCCCACACAACTGGCCCACAGCTCCCTTCTGGCAGCACAGCAAACGGGACAGCAAGGCAGGGACCCAGCCACCCAGCCAGGTAAGGTAACCTGGCAGTGACTATGACTGTCCCTCTGCCCCCCCCCCCCCACACACACACTTCAACCCCCTGCCCTGAGCTTCTCTCTCCCCAATCCTAACTCCTGCATCTCCCCACACACACATCCCCAGTCTGCTTCCCTGACTCTTGCACCATACACACACACACACACCAACCCCCTTCCCTGAGCCCCCCCACACTCCAGCCCACACTTACATTTCTTACAGGTCCTACCATCATACAACCCTCCCACCTCTGTCTTGAGTCCTTCCCCCAATGGCAGGGCTGTGATAGGACAGTTACCTGGAAGAAATGTAAGTTACTTTCATCCCTTGCAACACAGTTCAGGGTTGCACTGAGAGACTAGAGGATTTTTAATCCTTCACACTGAATTGGACAGCAGTAACTCACACTATGCAGGTTACACACCTTTCATTAACAATAGGTTTGGTGACTAAATGGAAACAGAGATCATATGCTCCTTACGTGGGTGGGCACCCTCAAGAACAGCAAGGCCCAGTCCTCCACAAATGTACATACACTAGGATTCCTGACCTCCTGCAGCTAGGTAACCCTATAGTCAGGGATACATGCTGAAAATAGATCCATGATATGGCCTCTGTAGCCTATGCTTTTTAGCTATGCCAGCTATATTTATGCCACTCTGGCTTGCACTCATATGAGATGACATGATACAGTAGCATTTCTGACATCGCTTCATTTCACACATTAGCGTGACTGTCAGCTCCTTCAGTGTTGATCTTAGCAAGATAAGAACATCCTATCCTTACTATCAAATTCCAGCTGACACTAAAGTAGCTGCTGCAGAAGTTAATTACTGATTTTACATTCACTGTCCTCTGCCGTCCCTATAGTTGAGTAGCTGGGTCCTGCCAATTCACAGAGGGCCAGTCCTGCTCCCATAAAGTCAATTGTGGAATTCCTATGATTGAACCCTGCTTCCCTTGCTAAGAGTCAGGGATTAAATTCTGCCAGAGCCATCTGGAGCAGAGCCGTGGTAAATGTTCTGAAACCATCTGGTGTTTTATAGCATATTGAGGAGGGGCTTATGAGGGGGCTCCAGGAAATATTTTATCCACATCTAAGCCCAAAGTCCAATTCTAAGGCCTGGGAAATGAGATAGAACTTAACTGCATTGGGTTGAATTTCTAAACAATGAGTCCACACCATCATGATAGTTCTGTCTACTTTAAGGTCTGTTAAAGTCGATTTCAGTACTCCAGCTTTTCACAAAGAGTAATGCTAAATTCAAACTTGCATGGTCAACTTTACGGTAGTGCAGATGTAGCACTATGAAAGTCGAAGTTTTTTACCTCCAAGAGGTGTCCCACGGTGCCCTACAGTGACCACTGTGGCCAGGACTTTCAACTCTACTGCTCTCCACGTGAACAGGAAAAGCCCTGGGAAAATGTAATTGTCATTTCCTGCATAGCCAGCATGGTGAGCAAACGTCAGAGCAGGCAGCACACCTGAGCAGCGCACCTGACTATGAGTTCCCAGAGTTGCAGACAAGCACAAGCATGGAAATGCAGAAGATCCTGGACCTCATGGCTTTGTGGAGAGAAGAATCTGTACTAACCAAACTACAAACCAGCAAAAGGAACACCAATATCTGTGCCAAGATCACAAATGGCATAGAAGAGAAAGAATATGCACGGAATACCCAGCAGTGCTGCATAAAAATAAAGGAGCTGAGGCAGTCATACCAGAAGACAAAGGAGACAAACTGATGGTCTGGATCATCGCCACAAACTTGCCACTTCTATGAGCAGATATGTGTGATCCTATGGAGGGACCCAACCAGCTCCCCTAGCCAGTCTATGGTTTCCTCCCAAGACATTCCTCAGGCAGCCTCAGCACCAGCATGGAGGATAGCATCGATGAGAAAGAGAATGAGGAGAGTGGTCAGCAAGCAAGCAGGGCAACCAGCATCACCAACGGCCAGGACCTTTTAATAACTTTGGAGACAGGCACTGATCCCAGAGAGGTCACTTCTGGTGAGTTCACATTTTTTTAATCATGCTACAAATGGGTGAAGGTGTGATCTGTGGTGGCTCCTCTGCCTACAGAGTTGGGGGTTCCCTGTCTGGCGATAGAGTGGGAATCATCCCAGCACATCTCCAGAAAGGAATTCTTTAATCCTGTTTACAAGGTCTGTGTGGAGGCCTGCTTTATTCCATCCTCCACGGTAGGACACCTTCCCATGCCACGCTAGCTGTGAGTGGTCTGGCTGCTCATTATTATTGGCTATGCGCTGTGCCTTGACCCCTCATGTTCTCACAAATACTACGGAGAACACAGCAGGCTGCCACCACAATGGGAATGTAGCTTTTGTTGAGGTCTAACCTTGTCAGTAGACTGCAGAACCTTCCCTTTAAATGCCAAAAAGCACATTCCATCACTATTCTGCATTTGCTAGCCGGCAGTTGAGCTGCTCCTTCCTGTGGTCCCGGCTGCCCATGCATGGCTTCATGAGCCATGGGAGCAAGGGGAAGGCTGGGTCACCAATGATCACTATTGACATTTCAACGCCTCTGATGGTAATTTTCTGATCTGTGAAGAAATTTCCAGGGTGCATCTTTCTGAAGAGGCGGGAGTTCCTAAAGATGTGTGCATCTTTCCAGACCATCCCATTCTGATGGCAGTGAAACAGCGCTTGTGATCCACCAGCACCTGCAGCACCATCAAGAACATTGTATAAAGCCTCCGCCCGAGCTATTAGCCTGTAAATTGGAGTTATTGGATTTACGCATAAATTTTCTGGAAATGCATTAAACTGTAAGATCCTGCCAACATGTGATGTAGAAAATGACAAAACCTGCTGCTGATTGCATTGCTGTGAACACTGTTTGAGGGGGCAGTTGTCTTCTAAGTCACTTTATTGACATGTAGACCATTAAGATAGGAATTGTTCATACCTTTGGAAGGTATGTTTGTAACTATTGGGCTTAGAAACTTTGTAATTGTTTCTTTGTAGCTTTCGCCTGCTTTGCTTTTTAAGTTCAGCAACTTATTGTAAGTTCTGGGATTTTTGAACATTGCAATTTTGTAATGTTTGTAACTTTCAGCCACTTTGTTTTTTAAATTCTGTAACTTGCTCTAAGCTCTATCGTCCTGTGATAAGAAAGCATGTGTGAATGGAGACTGGAGTATGTTTGGGGCGAGGAAAACAGCAAGGCTAAAAACGTGGAGCCAGGAGCTGACTAATTAAAGCAATCATGGAGACACTGCTGCTCTAAGCAATCAAAGGACCCAGATCCAGGGAGGTCTGGAGATGCTCCTCGGTGGTGGAGGAAGGACTCTGTGTTCAACAGGAGCCGTCCATTTCCAATAAAAAGGAGAGAGCACATGGCAGAAGCCTTCTTTTTGATCAGCTCCCCCACTGGGATCTATGACTGCAGGCAGATACTTTGGATGTACTATGCCTTGGCTTTCTCTCTCTTCCTCTGCAACCCTTTGCCTGCCTAAGGGTATGAGTGCCTGAGGACATGAATGAATGTGTGTGTGAGAGAGAGATAGTTCTCCTTGATATAATGGCATTCAATTACAGCTTAATCCCCTTTAGTTTAACTCTATAGTGGATTGTTAATTCCTCATTTAATAAATCCATATAAGTATAAACCTGGGGTGGTCCTCCAGTGAAATTTAGGGTAACAAAGTACCACCCCCTTTCAGTAAATGTACTCTTTGGCTAGGTGGTCAGGGGCTAAGAAAGGGATGCAGATTTTGTCTATCGCCCCACCACAGTTAGGGAACCTCATCCCGGCAAAGCCGTTCTCTAGATCCTCCTTGTTTCCCAGAGTCACTACTCGCTGTAGCAGAAGAGTATTGAAAAACAACAGCCCCCATGGTAGATTTCCCCAATCCAAATTGATTCCCAGCTGACTGGTAGGTGACTGGTGTTTTAAGCTTCTACAGGATAATTGCCACTGACTTCTCCTCTGTCAGAGTAGATCTCATTCTGCTATTCTTGTGCTTCAGGGCAGGGGAAAACAACTCAAAAACGTCTATAAAAGTGGCCTTACATATGCACAAGTTTTGCAGCCACTGCCGATCATCCCATAGCTGCATCATTATGCTTTCCCACAGGACTGTACTGGTCCAGAGGAATCAAATGCTGATGGCATTTGCCAGTGGTTCAGCTCAAGGGCTTCACAAAAGGGTATGTTCATGGCCTCCCGAGATTTTTCCTCATTCCAGCATAAAGCGAATGCCAAGAAATATGCGAAGAATATGCTCAGCACCTATGAGGAATGATTGGGAGATACTAAGTAGCTGCCTTGTTTCATACAGAAAAGATTGCATGTATTAATAGACACTATTAAAATTCACAAATGAATTTTATCCTAATCTCACACCATTGAACTGAACAACACAGCCAGGCACTCTTTCTACATTTCTGTTTCTTACTTTTATGAACATATTTTTTTCTTTTAGGATTAATTATTCCTGCAGCACAAGATATAATTCAATATAGCTATTGAAATCCTTTACAAATAATTAACATAGCATAAAAAACCTTAATAAATGGAAGTTTCTGCCAACGAGCCCTCCAATTTTCCTACCATCAAAAGAAGATATGCACCTCAGTATAATTTGTTGTAAGTAAGTATGCTTAGAAAAATAGAGCATGGAAATGATTTCCATAACCTTTTATGATTCAGATTTAAATTTATAAAACATCATTTTTAACTACAATAGGTATAATCCAACTATACGTTTAATAGTTTATATAAACTGTGATCCTAATTTGATCTCAGTTATACCAGCTCAGTTATACCAGCTCTTTACTGGGGTAATGCCAGTGACTGCCAGTCTTTCCTGATTTACCTCAGCATACGTGGAATCAGAATTTGGCTCTAATCCTTTTTTTATTCTGTACACTAACAACAATATTTATCCTTTTCTCTTCCCTCTTCCCTTTCCAAGCCCTTGAGAGAGTTCAATGTCTCATTCTTTGTCAAACTAAGATATTCTCTGGCTTGGCTTGACAAAGCCCTGGCTGGGGTGATTTAGTTGGGGTTAGTCCTGCTTTGAGCAGGGGGTTGGACGAGATGACCTCCTGAGATTTCTTCCAATCCTAATCTTCTGTGATTCTCTTATATAAAAGAGACAGCGATTCAGCACAGTATCACCAGTAGGACTGTGAAAACAGTATAGCTAGAACTCTAAAGCTAATCAATTTCAAGGAGAGTTCAAGGTTTAGCTCTATTACTACCAGCAAGCCTAGGTCCAAGATGTTCATAGCTTACACAAAAACAACAAGGAGTCCTATGGCACCTTAAATAAAGATGTATTTGGGAATAAGCTTTCCTGGGTAAAAAAAAAAAAAAACCCACTTTGTCAGATGCATGACTTCATGCCCCAAAATAATATATTAGTCTTCAAGGATGTGTCTAGACTACAGGGTTTGTTTGGTTTTTTTTAAAATGTGGCCTTTTTAAAAAAAAAAAAAAACTTCCCCTGCATCTAGACTGCTGCCATGGTCTTTCGAAAGTAAATCAAAAGAATGAGGCAATTTTTTCGACCGCGGAAAACCTCATTTGACAAGGAAGAATGCCTTTTTTTCAAACGTGTCCTTTCAAAAAAAAAGGTGCTATGTAATGCAAACTGTGCTTTTTCAAAAGAGAGCATCCAGACTGCCTGGGTACTCTCTTTCGAAAAAGTGGCTTTCTTTTTTGAAAGAACCGGGTCTAGTCTAGATGCTCTTTTTCAAAAGAGGCTTTTTCAAAAGTATCTTTCAAGAAAGCCTCATTCGAAAGAGGCTTGCAGTCTAGATGTAGCCTAAGGTGCCACAGGACTCCTCATTGTTTTTGCAAATACAGACTAACATGACTACTACTCTGAGACATAGCTTCTACATTTAGCACAGGTTCTATTACAACCACAGATCAGCATTTTTTGAGTGTATAGAGCCTAATAGTACTGCATTACGTATTAAACTGAAACTAATTTTAAACAATCCTGACTCAGATCATCTCATATCACTTTAAACGTCATTTGTTTTCCACCTTATCCCTTATAAGCCATATAAGCATTGGAGTCAGGCAGTCAACAGCTCATTATGGAGATAGATGATATAGAATAGATTCACTATAATAAATTTCTTCTTTTTTCTAGTTTTCAATGAGAAACTTAAGCTCTTTGCCCCATCTTGCATGGACCGCTATTTAATGACTAGAACATACTGATCTGACTATTTTGTACTTTCTTTTATCTCATAATATTTTCAGCTTTGCTAAATCAAATCTCCTTTGGATTCCCCAGGTCTGACATGATGTTAGAAAAACTTGTCATAGCTGCTTACATTGGCATATCACATTATTCAGTCTAGCAGGCAGGATGCACCTTCCCAACCACATGTCAACCCTGCTAACTTTCAAAAGGACAGTTTGCTAAAATTGTGTGGCTGACATCGTTTTACAAAGCACACTTCCTAGAGTTTACATTGTTTTATAAAAATACAGGAAATCACAAATACAGTGGCATTGCCTCATGCCAAGAGTAGGAGCATGTATGGAGAAGTTCACAATAGCATAATTCTATGCATGTTTTGTTGTTTATATTCTGAGGATTTCATTGCTCTAACTACATAAGAACTGCCATAAATGACCAGACCAATGGTCCATCTGATTCAGAATTCTGTCTCTTATAATGGCTGGGCACTTCAGATGAAGAGGCAGAAAGCCTCTGATGGACAATTACAGAACAATCCGCTCTTAGGGAAGTTTTTCCTCTCAACAGTTGCTGTCATTTACTGCAGGTAAGAAAATGACTAGGTGCAGACTATCATTTCCTGACCATGCAAGAACCTTTACTAATGACAATACAAAATAAAAAAGGATTATTCGTTTGAGTAAAGTTTTGCAAAACTGGTCTCCAGATTTATTCAGAAACTAACCTCTTTTCCAATTCATTATATTAATATTTTTCCTGAAAAAAATTGACTGAGCATATGGATTTTCTCTTATAATTATTTAGCAATTTTATTTAATTTCATAAGGATACTTTAATGTGTATTACAATGTTTTCAAAGTATGCTTTCTCTTTTACCATCAAAATAACCTAGTATATACATAGCATAGAATCTGAAAACTGTAAGAATAGGACCTAGTTAAGAGTAGATCCCTAAACATGGGATACAGATTCAACAGTGCCATGTTAATAGGAAACAAAAATTAACACTATCCTAATTTAGATAAAATTATTTGTTTCCTTCCCTTCTGCCTTCCCCTACAAATCATGACTTTTTCTAACCCTCTAGATCCTTGAAAAGGTAATAACATAGAATTAGGGAAAGTTAACTATATCCATAGATGATGGATTTTGAATGCTAAAAATTCTATTGTTAGTTCTTCCTATTCAAAGATATTCAGCTAAAGCAAGAGTGCAAGCCATCAGCTTCATGAGTAACTAACTACTTAGAAGGCAGCATCTCAAAAAGTGTTTTTCATTATGTTATATTTTGTGCATATACTTAGTAAGCAGAATGCACAATTTATAGCACCAGAGTTATTTTTAGCAAGCATTCATATCTAATCATAGCAAGCAGAACTCTTTACTCTGACAATCAGTTACCCTACTGGGTTGTATAGGGCTATTCAAGATCAGGCCTTTTTATTGATTTTTTTAAATTAATGTTTTGCATAATTCATTAACATTATTTAATGAAGATAATTTTTACCTTTGTTCTATGGTCATATTACATCTAGCAAGAAATCACCAATTCTACAGGAATTTATATAAAAACACAATTATTCCTTTCTATATTTGCTTTCCAAAAGTGACCCTTTCTACAAATCCTTACCATGCCATGAGGACTTTTCTGAATGAGGGAGAGTCTTCCATCTCCGCATGACCACACTGCCCTTCCCTAAACCCAGAGAGAGCTTCCCACATGGTTGGAGTTCCACAGCTGTGAATGACAATGATAATGGTTGGGACCAAGGCAACTCATTCCCACACTCCAATCAAACCTGGGGAAAATCTTCCTGTCACCCTCTGAGATGTCCCTGAAAGGGGCTCTCCCACCCGTATGCCAATCTGACTTAATCTTTTGTAGCTTCACTTGAATACAGCCTCACTATCACCAAGGCATGAGAGCTCAAGAGCCAACTCAGAGGCACAGGGTTAACATAGCACATATGAGCAGATTGATATTGTCTGAGACAGTACCATCATCTATTCTGTTGCAGACCAAATCCAAGCACTACAATCACAGAATGGCTCAAGGGAAACTCAACAGCATCTTCCTTTCATTAGAGTAAATACTCAGATGCTTCTGTTCATTCATGAAGATCAATCATTCAAAATCTGATACCCCTGCCATTTTTAAGACTGTTTATAATGCTACGATCGAGTAGTTTTTGACACACAATATTACTAGCTCCTTGGGGATAGATTCATCTAAAAATAACGGAAGACTGTGGTCTGTTTTTCAGCTTCAGAACTGAAATAGCTCCATGCCACACCTAGCAGTCAGAATTGTAGAGATTAGCCACAATAATTTGGATTTTAAGAAAATTCTAATCCTTCAGGTTCAGTCAAGGCCTGTTTAAGTCAAGTATGCCTCTTTTCCTCACATCCATCTCCTTAAGCCCCTTCCCATGTGTCAAGGAGCTAAGGTTACATTAACTCCCCCTTCCATTCAATAGCTCCATAACTTTCCAGAAATTCCAGTAAAAAGCTGAAGGTAATATAAGAAGTGTTTCCTCTACTGACGCAGTCAGTACTTTACCTAGTACGATTTTGGATATTTTCTGCAAGATCAGGTCTGAAAAATATAAGGGCACAAAAGCTGAGGGAGAAAATCAGGTCAGTTCTTCTATAATTTAATAAAGCTGTATATGTACAACAGATCTACATATGCCAGTGCATCTGGGAGGGGCACAGCCAGAAGAGCAGAGAGGATGAGAAGGTCATTTCAGTTTGGCTTCAGGTTTTGATCTCTGCTTTAAATGCCCCTGTAGTGGGGCACTATTTGGAAACCATGGGAGGGGTGGGTGAGCACAGCCTGCCTACTTTTCAAAGTCCATCCCTCAGCCCTGTAGGAGGGATGACTAGACCCAGGGTCCGACTGATTCCTGGGGACAAATAATGACAAAAGGGATCAAGGTGTGGGGTCACAGGTTTAAAACAAAGGAACTGGATGGGGACACCAAGCAGAGAACCCTGGACAGCACCCACTGCTCCTCAAACCTGTCGATGAAGCCAGTGGATGCTGCCCAGAGGAACTCTGCCCAGATATGTGACACAAGGGAGGACCGAAAATAGGCCCCACTGTCTCAGAGAACCCCCTTGTCTAGCATCCTCCTCCTGGTATTATAGCTGGCCAGGAGGAGGTTGACGAGGAGGTCTCACGACTTTGTGGGGCTACGGATAGGGGAGTTTGGGGGGGGTGGAGAGCCCCATGCACTGAGCAAGCACTCAGGGATCCATCCAGTCCCCATGTCGTAGCCCAGGACCTTGGTGGTTTCTGCCAGGATCAGCCTCCGGCGCACTGAGGGAGACTCCGCCACCTGCACGAGGAGGTCTGCTCCCTCAATGGCCATAACGGACCTGGTCACTGAGAACAGCTTCCAGGTCTGGAGGAGGTCCTGGTAGAATTCCGGCAGCTCTGAGAGGTCTCGCAGAAGGCCCCTCGGCTGGATAAAAAAGAGCTGCCGGTCGTATCAGAGCCCTCGGAGGCGGCAGAGGAAGGTGCATGCCAAAGTGCTCCACACCAGACTACCTGCACTAAAGAGGAATCTCTGCAGGGCCTGGAGGCAGAAGGTCCTGACCTGGCAGCACACGCAGACCAGGACCTGGCCCCCCTCCTCCAGGGGAAGAGACAGAACCCCTGAGTGCAGTCCTGGCCAAAAGAACTCCAGAGCTACCCTCTGGAGCTTGGCCTGGACCTCCGGGGCCAGCCTCAGGGTGTTGAGCCAGTGCCAGAGCATGGACAGGACCACCTGATTTAACACCAGTGCTCTCCCGCAAAGGGAGAGACACTGGAGCAGTCCTGTCCATCTCCGCAGCCACTCACCCACCCTGGTCTCCAAACCTTGCCAGTTCTCCGGCGGAGAAGGACGTGTGGTGGATAAATAAACGCCCAGATAGAGCAGCGAACCCACGCTCTACCTGATGACCTGAAGCGTGGGTGGGAGGGAGCCTGCCCGCCACCCATCCCCAACCACCAGGCCAGTGCCTTGACCCAGTTAACCCGGGCAGAGGAGGCCGTCGAGTAGACATCTTGGCAGGCCTCCACCCGCACCAGGTCGCCTGGGTCCTGGACCATGCGGAGCATGTCATCGGTGTATGCCGACAGAACCAGCCACAGCTCTGGCTCTCGGAGCACCAACCCCATCAACCTCCTACGGAGGAGAGAGAGGAAGAGCATACAGCTGGCCTGACAGTAGACACCCCAACGTACCCCCCCCCCAAAGCTGACCAGCTCAGTCAGGGTCCAGTTGAGCCTGACCAAACACTCTGCTACGGTGTACAGCACCGGGAGAAAACCCACAAAACGGGGCCCAAAGCCGAAGGCCCACAGAGTGCCCAGGAGATACCCATGGTCCATCCTGTCAAACGCCTTCTTCTGTTCCAGGGACAGGAGGGTGAACGACAGACCATCCCTACACCCAAGCTCCAAGCGATCCCGGACCAAGTACAGATAGTGAAAGATACTACAGCTTGGGATGGTGTAGGTCTGGTTGGGATGATCTCCTCAAAGATGGAGCTAAGTTCTATCCACACAGCCCCAGAGTCCTCCTCGCCGGCTGCTGAGGCAACAATGACTTCGGCAGTAGCAGTGGGAAGCCCAGCTGGTACCAGGGCCGGGGAGCTCCACCTGAGGCCTCCTTGGGGATGGGCTCCACAGGGGGAACGGCATCATCCCCCCTCGTAACCCTGGCTTCCTTGGCTGGCACCTCCTGTTGACGCTCGCCAAGGGCATTCTCGACAGCGCTGAGCCCCCTCGTGATTTTTTGGAAGGGGGCCTTCCCATCCTCCTTGTTGGAGGGGGGAGATTGAGCCCACGGATTACGGGCTCTGCGCTTCTCCAAACGAGCATCCAGCCCTCTGAGGTGGAGGTGGAGGGCTGGTCAGCTGGGGCGAGGACAGGGGGTGTGGATGATTTTCAAGGAGGGCATTGAGGCAAGGGATGGAGAGAGGGAGGTAGGGAAACCCCGCCCCCCGGGGAGGGACCCTCTCCCTCGCCCGGCAGTGATTGCACCACACTCTCCTCCTCGGGCCCCGCAGAGACAGTTTGAAGAGAGGTGGGGCCTGCCTGCTCACCTGGGTACACCAGAGGGAGTGCCTCCGGGCTCCTAGCAGAGCTGTCATTTGGAGGAGTGGCAGTTGTGGAGGCCGGACTACCAGGGGGGCCGGTGATGTTGGGGCTGGCGCCCTCCTGGGCCCAGAGGGCCTAGACACCTCCACCAACCTGGCCAGGGGCAGTCCCTCCAGACATGCCCCATTGCCTGGCAGAGAAAGCACCGGGCCTCCCCTGATGAGTAGTGGACCCGGTAAAGGGACCCCTAATAGGGCACCATGAAGGATCCCTCTAGTGCCACCCCACCATGTGCTGCCAGCGGCAGTTGCAGTTGTACCTGCCAGCGGAATGATAAAACATGGCAGAGGGCAGGGTCCTTACAGCCCAACAGGAGCGGGTGGATGGTGGAGATGGGCCTCCCCAGGGTGGAGAGGGCAGGCAGCAGTGCAGCATTGAGGAGGAAGGGCGGGATGGAGGTAAGGACCACCCGTACACCCAGGTCCTCCAATGGCTCGAGGGGCACATGCACGCCCCCCACCACCAGGCCCCTTTCCACCACCTCCTGGGCGGCAGCCTCAGATGCCAGGAAGAATACCACCTTCCCAAACATCTTAAGAGGCTGCCACCATGGTCGTGGGCCCCACCAAGCGTGCCCGCATGTAGGTCTCCACGTGGGGCGAGGCGGCCACCAGGAGACAACAGACCCCGTGCCTCCTGGTCAGGGTGGGAAAGGAGCCACGGCTGCCAGGGATGGAATTCCAGGAGGCGGCTTGGGAGGCAGCAGGTGGAGGGGGGATGGTGGCCAGCATGTGAGCTGTGGCCAGGGAGTGAGCCCTCGCCTCAGGAGGTTTTGCCTTTCGGGCGGGGCTCGTGCCCTTTTTGGTCCCCAGGCTCTTCCTACCCTTCAGGGGAGGTTCTTCAGTGGTGACTGGAGGCACCGCAGCAGAAGTGGTCAAGGCCCCGGGGACCTCATTCATGTCCACCCTCTTTACTGTAGTGACGAGGGGCCCAGCAGCCTCAGAAGGGTTGTTGTTTTTAGGGAAGGGTCAGGCGGGGCGTCACTGGACAACCCTTCCATTGTGGTCATGGGTGGGGAGGGAAAGACAAAAACAAGCAATTAGGGGAGAACCAAAAACACCGGGGTAGTGAACAATGAGGGAAAGGAAGGGGAGGAAGAAGGTTTACCGCTTCCCCTCCCCCACTCCCACCCGGCTGGAAGGGTGATAATTCAAAAAGGGGAAAAGGAGTGAGGAATATAGCTCCCAGCACAGGATGGAAAAAGTGGCTCTTTCAGCTGCACTGGGGAGATGAGGGGGAAATTATTATTAAAAGAACATGGGGACAAGTGAAGCTGTGTGAGAGTGAGAGAAGAGTAACTAAAAGGAGGAGGAAGCTCAGGCACCAAACACAAGAAGGGGGGGCATGGGCATACAAGAGGATGGTTATGATGAACAGTGGAAGGATGGTTATGATGAACAGTGGCAGGATGGTTATGATGAACAGTGGCAGGAAGTGAGGAGATACCTGCTTGGAGCGGGGAGGAGCTAGACATGGCTGGGGGAAGGGAACCCGTGTGACCACAGGTGCCTGAGTAGCAGGCCAGCAACACCTGCTGCAGAGCTCAGCTCCCAGCTCAGTTTGTGGCAGAGGAGGAGGGTGTATTGCGGGGGGAAGGGATGCGAAGGAAGGGGGGATGCAAAGGGGAGGGAGGAAAGGGGGAAAGCAACCACAGAGGAACCCCTCTGGGAGCCATTTTCTAGCCCCTCCCAGTCACCTGACCGGAAGCAAGGGGCGTGGCTAAGGCTATAAGAACCCGGCCAGGGAACTCAGTCAGGGCCCAGCCTCAGTGGGAGACAGAGACCTGCCCAGAGCTCCCTGCCACAGAGGCTAAGACTTGGCTTGGTCCTCCCACAGCCCCAGAGGCTGAGGCCTACACAGACCTCTGGGACTCGGAGGCCGGGCCTCCCACAGCTGCTGACCCAGAGGTAGGGTTGCCAGATAGTTGAAACAAAAATACCGAATAATCCCATCCCCCCCCACCTCACCCCCCCAAAAAAACCCACTGAGGAAAAAATTCTGTTGAAGGAAAAAAAGGTGGAGGAGACCAAAGTTGTTGAGCGCAAAAAAAAAAAAAGACTCCAAGACCATTTTGTGCCAGCAGCCTTGCAGAACCAGGTAAGCATGGGGTTGGGGGGCTGGAGGGGTTGGGAGCCAGTGGAGGCTCAAGGTAGGGGAGGAGGCAAATTGCTTCTCAGTTTAAATCTCTGTGGTAATAACAGGGATAGGATCAGTGCTAGGGTTACCAGGTGGTCATTTAAAAAAATGGACACGCTTCATGGCGGGGGAAAGGGGGGAGAAGGACCAGCTGGGAGGGGAGTGGTGTTGGCTGGGAAGAGGGGAAGCCAGGAAAGAGAGCAA